AAAAAATAAACAGGTAGCCCATCTGAATTAGGACATTTAGGCTATCCATCTAATAGTAGCCTACCAAAATCTTATTAACAGTCGAAGTTAAATCTTACTGTAGTCTTCAAATCTGGGTACTGTCTTACGTTTTAAAATCACAAAGGGAGTTTGGTCCCATCATGCTAACGTGACAGTCAGGATTCATGCAGCTGTAAGGTTTTCTTTTTCTTTTGTTTTCACTCGAGATCTTTACAACACGCATTACATTACGTATTTCATGGCACACTCGTTTTATGCATATTTGGCGCCACCTAGTGTTGTGGGTGTATTATTGACATGTCAAAGTCTAGACCCTGAATATAAGACGACCGCGTTTTTTCAGATGTATTTCCAAGAAAAAAATATCGTCTTATATTCGGGTCAATACGGTAATCTCACGATTGCGAGTTATAAAGTCAGAATTGCAGGATATGAACTCGCAATTCTGACTTTTTTTCTCGCAATTGCGAGTTTATATCTCACAATTCTGACTTTATAACTCGCAGTTGAGAGTTCATATCACGCAATTCTGAGAAAAAAGTCAGAATTGCGAGATGTAAACTCACAACTGTGAGAAAAAAAGTCTGAATTGTGAGATTAAAAAGTCGCAATTACCTTTTTTATTTTTTTATTCAGTGGCGGAAATGGGCTTCCATACATATTTGATGAACTTTGCATCATGTGATTCTGTTATTTTACTGTTTTGTTTTTAACTTTGAAGTTGCTTTGAAACAATCTGTATTGTATAAAGCGATATAGAAAAAAAGGGGTGTTGACTTGATGAGAAAAAAATAGGGGAAGATAACATCATGTGACTGACTCACAGGAAGTGTTCATCTCACCATGTTCATGAGTTCCTTCAGCAGGTGTCTGGACGGTTGACCCAGTGACACCAACACCTCATACAGGTGAGTGTAGCCAATCCGCTCCTTAAACACTTCCTACAAGGGAACGAGGCTATTTTAGTTACTATAAATAGTTCAATGACTAGTTCAAGAGCTCTATCCCTAGTCATCATGTACTAAAAGAATTAGCATTAAAACATGCATTGGATATATGATTTTTCCAAATTGTAAATAAAGCAAAAATAATTGGAGTATGTTTTACAAGAAAATTCAATTTCAGTCTTTCTAGTCCAAAATGTCACATTTAATTCAATACAATTATTTGTGAAAATGTGTAATTAATTGTGAAATTTGCCAGCAATTTCTGAGTGAAAATTCTAAAGTTTCTTACACCATTTCTGTCATAATTTAGAAAGAATCCTAATAGGATCAAATAAAGATCCTACTGGTTATTAATCTTTTATCTAAAACAGAAAAAAAAAATACTACATGAATTTCTAATGATTTTTCCAGGCCTAAAAATGATTTTAAAAATCTCTCATATTTCCATGTTTTCCAATGGAAATTATTTCCTAAAGGTCCATTTTGTTCTACTGCTGCTAATTATAACAGTCTGATGAGAAGTATGTGTAAACACACTACCATTCAAAATTTTGGAAGCAGTAAGATTTTAATTATTTTTTGAAAGAAATTAATACTTTTATTCAACAAGGATGTATTAAATTGCTCAAAAATCAAAAGTGACAGTAACAACATTCATAATGTTACATAGGATTTCTGTCAAACAAATTATGTTTTTTTTTTTTTATTCATCAAAGAATCCTGAATAAAATGTATCATGATTTCACAAAAAAATTATCAGAACAATTGTTTTCAACATTGATAATAAGAAGAAATATTTCTTGAGCAGCAGATCAGCAAATTAGAATGATTTCTGAAGGATCATGTGACACTGAAGACTGGAGTAATGATGCTGAAAATTCAACTTTGCATCACAGAAATAAATTACATTTTAAGATATATTACAATAGGAAACTTTATATTTGACAGTATTATTGTTTTTATTGTTGTATTTTGATCAAATTAATGCAGCCTTGGCTAGCAGAACAGACTAAGGCCCAATCCCAATTCTACCCCTTAGCCCTTCCCCCTACCCCTCCGTTTCGCACGTTCACGTGAAGGGGTAGGGGGGTCTCGATTCTCTTTTGGTTGGAGGGGTAGGGGTAGGGGAAGGGCCAGACAGCCCTTCCAACGAAGATTTTTCGGGACCACACTTCAAA